AAATAATTGCCGTGAACACAGTCACTATTACTATTTTAAAATAATTACATACGCATAATCTTAAAACGGTAATAATATTACATCTTATATAATATTTACTAAGAATATGCTTATAGTTTCAAAAATAAATCTTAATTCAAGAGGATTAATTCCAAAAAGGCAAGATATAATATAGAATGATAATTATAAATTTATAGATATTGAGCAAGATTATTTTATTTATAATAAAGACAAGATCTAATATCAATTTGTGTGATCAGTCTAAAAGAATTCAATAGATTCTTAGTGAGAGAGAATTATGATAGGATGAAATAGTATTAGATTATATCTTGTACAAAAGAAAGAAAACAGATTCTAATATTATTAATTGTTGTATATATTATTTAATAACTAATCAATCTGATTTTCTTGTACAGCATGATCAGATTCAAGAGGAAATTAAATCTTGTGAACATAAGATAATTTTATTACTTTTAGTTATTTCTTTGTCAATTTTATTTTGATAATATTGTTTTAGATTATATTTTACTCCAAGTTTCATTCTGAATTTAACTATATTGAAATGTACTGGGGGATAATTAAAAAGTATATTCAATCTTATTGTGAGTACTCATCATCAAAACTCTGAAAAAAAGTTTTTCAAGCATTTGATTCTATTTCCATAAAAAGAATTCATTCTTTTGCTAGACTGTTATTTAGGTGGATGGATGCTTATTGGCATGATTTGACTGGAAAAATGGCAGAATATGCAGTCAAGAGGCAAAGAAAACATAAATCAATTAGCGAGGAGATTATGAATCTAGGAGAAAGCAAGAATTTTATTTATTTTGTAATGATAATAATAAGAGGAACAATAATAATAATAAAACAATAAGGGAATAATAAGAGGAGAATAAGGAAAGCGAAGCGGGTATTACTTTGCCATATGAATAACTGCTTTTTTTGCATATCTTATTTATAAACTCGCAGTGCTCGATCAATATTGATTGATCATTGGCTGCATGACTGATTGCATCACTATGTAATGTTTAGGGTTATATCCAAATTTGGCGCTTCATATAGTGGATTGGATATCTTATGCTGTCCCGCACTGTAGCTCAAAATTTTAACCTAAATATATTATAAACGCGCTTCGATTATTTCTCTTTACAATCACCGAACATTTCACACGACTTGTAATCAAATACCTGTGTAACGTCGAACCAAAGACGCGAAATCAATTTTCGCGTCAATCACCAACTGTTGCCGACGTGCGTGCAAAAAATTGATACAGAATATTAAGTACGATTTGAATTTGGATATAACGCTTGACTTGATTCTTCAAAGACGCTAAATTGATTTTCGTCGTCAATTGTTAGCAATTCAACAACCAAGAATCCAATGCTCATATAACTTACACGTTTGTTAAGCGTAACTATTGCTGATATGTGCAATAAATTGACACAGAATATTAAGTCCGATTTGAATTTGGATATAACGCTTGGTTTGATTCTTCGAAGACGCGAAATCAATTTTCGTCATCAATCACCAACGACTCAACAACCACGAGTCAAATGCTACACGAAAATAAATGACATTGTCATGCTAGACCCAAAAAGCTTGAGTGATTATGATCAAATCATGGAACATCGCATCAGTATTCAAACGATAACGAACAATTGTACGTCTCACACAAGTTCCATTCTCTAATATTAAGCCTAGCACTGTTAAGTGAAACAGTAACAGACATTAACATCTCTAATATTCTATTCACGTTCACGATCATTTTCTCTCCACCAGACTTCTCATTACCTGTTGGACCCATTGCCATGCCGATTAACAGCTTCAATTCCTATGAATGAATACTGCATTAAACTACATTAATAGCAGCCACTATAATAACAATACATCCTCGTAACTTCTATTGATGGCAGCCTGTCCCTTTGACCCTGCATGTACTGTTTATGGACCTGAAACGTATTCATAAATAGATAGTGAATGTATCTTCCCAATGTTACACATCAAGTCCTCGGTTCTTCCTTTTCACCTGCCTACCAAGTCTCTTAATTCATAAACCTTCTTTTGTCGAGAGGTTAGTTTGCAACGGATAGCCCAACTCTCAGTTGAGAATGATTCCAGGGAAGGCAACCATAGCCTCAACTCTTAGTTTAATGCTAAGTTCTTCGTCATGAAGCTTCCCTATGGACTGTTTCTGATGAAAATTTCTTGTTTCACATCACATAAAAATCTATATCAAAATGATTTACTAATATTAATTTGTTTTTGACAAGAATTGGTCTGCGCCGCTCAAGATGAATAAAAAACGATTAAAAGCTAATGAAATATCCAAGAAGATCGAGATAGTGCGTGCCGAACAACAGCTCCGTACGATCAGAAATTCGTCTGATCAGATAGATATTTTTCAAAAACAATTTAATGAAGACACCATAAACACTATCTAGAAAACCGAGACGATGATTGAGCTGATCATGAAAAAGTTCAGACAAAAAAGGTGAGATTACTTGTAATACTTCAAACTTGCAAATAAACTCATTAACATGCTTTGTGGATTTGCCTGGATATGCTAGATCAAAACTAGTCAGTCGAAGTCGTTAAAAAATGGAACACAGAAAGACTTATTGAATTCTTGCAAGAACAGAATTTATATTTGGATAAAAACCATTTTGATATCTGGCTGCTCCTTTCTCACATCTACAAAAAAAAGAATTTCAAGAATGCGGATTAGAAATAGGAGTAAGCAAAGCTCTTGTGAGCTTAATTAATGATCTCCATCATGAATAAGGTAAATAATTATAATGTTGTACTAAGCTAGAGCTTCTTTCTTCGTAAAACTGATATAATCAAATTCCTACTTTTCAGTAAAGTCTTCTGCAACTGACATCAAATTTAATCGAGAAAAACTTATGACGAATTTTTTAAGGAACTTCGTGAAGAGCTTTGTGAAGAACTCTCCGTGATCTCTGTGATAAGTTAAAAGAGGTTAGATAGTAGAGGTATTTTTGTTAAATGATAAAAGTTGATTACTATTGTATGAGTTGGCAATTATTTTTTTTTTCACTGAGTAAATTTTTTGCTTACAACCCTTAAAATGTTTTGTTTTTTTTATTAATTTCATATCTGGCATTACACATTACTAATGCTACGGATCTATCAAGTTTAGCTCCAATTGCGCTTTATCATGTGTAGAGATGTACGCACACTTTCTAATAACTATTTAAAATATAAAAGATAAATAAATGAAAAGAAATAAAAAAATAAAAAAAGATTTAATAATGAAAGAGTATTTAAAATAAGAGAAATATTCAAAAGATATTATAATATTGAAGTTCTTATACTAGTATTGCCAGATTCAATATCAAAAAAAAATGTAAATAATAATACTTCAAAATAATTAAAATTAAAAACACAAGTTTCAAGAAAGATATAGTGACTACCAAATATTATACATCAGAAAGTTAAATTAATTAATAAAATATAGTAAGAATTGAAATTTTCTCTATATTAAAGTTTATAATTTTATTAAGAAATAATTTTATTTTTATATTAAAATAAAGTTTATAAGTTATAGTTTAACATATATTTTTTCAGTTTTTTCTGAAAGTGTTATTTTAATTATAAGATTGATATAAATTTTTTTTGAATTAAAAACAAGATTTAATTAGAAATATTTATAATTAAATCTTTTTTATTATAATTAATATTAATTAAATATTATAAAATAATACTTTATATATATACAATTAAATTTCTTTATAATTATAATTATTTTTTTTATAATTATCTTTTTTTAAGTTTTCTAATTATTAATTAATTATAATTAAAAAATTCTTTTTATAATTATATCTTTCTTTAGTTACTTAATTTTACTTTTTTAAGTATAGTAACTATAAAAAAATTTGATTATATATAATATATAATAAAAGTTTTTTACATACTTCAAGTATTAATAACTTTATCAAAATAAAAGTAATATATGTTATATTTTAAATATATAAATAACATATTTTAAACTATAAATAAATAAAATATTAAATAATAATTTGTTTGATTTTTGTTGAGAAATTACTTTTATAATAATATTTTCTAATAAAAAAACTCAAAGAAAAATTATATTATATTTGTGACTGAATTAAATCACTTCTGCAAAGAAAATATATTTTAGAACTGATATTATAATATTAATTATCTATTATAATTTAAAAAAGTTAAATAAAAAAGAGAATAATTCAAGAAAACTAATATTAGTGATCATAAATATCCTATCAGTTATATCACTTAAATATATATAATAATAACTTCTTAAAATTTTCAGGCAAAAAATGTATGACAATATCTGATCATATGTAAAATTTCAGCTCAAGCAGATGTCACCAGCAAATTTTCTAAATATTAGATATTTTGTTTTAAAAATATATGAAAATATATCAAAATTGCATTTACTTATTTCAAACTTAAAACTTCAAAAATTCATATCTTCATATATTGTTATAATATAGATTTTTATATATATTTTATTAATATTAGTTATTTTATACTCGCATTTTTATTGGACAA